TGGAAACAATACTTTCATCACTTCTGCATCAAAAGCTCTCGACAAAGCTCTGAGGGAATTTTCACAACTTTACATTCATGGACGTTTATCACTCAAACTAAAATGAAATGTTTAAACTTATATTTGAAGTTCCTAACATGTAAACAAGGGGTTTTGTGTCATGGTGATAATTTGCTTAATTTGATCAGTTTGACGTCTTAAGACAAATTGAATATAAGCTTCAATTATTGTTGATGCTTTATTGTTAGCGGAAGTTTTCCAAAGGGGGATTTTGCTAAAATTTAATACCAACTGAATCTTTGTCATCGATGAAATACAATATATATAAACCAAAATCCATTATTGCAACTATCGTCTCAAATCTGCAACCTTTGACTAATGTTTCACAAAAAAGTTTACATCGTTCTGATTAGTTTTTTTTCTCATTTTTATTTGCTGAAGGTGACAAATATTCAAAGATTCAAGATATCAAAACAACTTCATCAGATATTTCATTTACTACTGTAGAAATAAGACTTTCTAATGAATTCTTGCCGCCGCACTATGATCGTGCCACCAGGAGGATTTTAAGATGTTTTGCTGTTTTCAGACGAGTGAAGTGAACCGACAGTTGTTGAGCAGTTAGTGACAGTCGGGCCGTCGGTGTGTTTTTCTGATGCTCTGAGTGGCTGGAAGGTAAATTCTGTCGGACTAAATCTGAGCTCCAGGATGTTTTTTCAGAGCACAAGACGATTTGGAGAATTCCCAAAATATGCAACACTTCTTTCTCAACAGTCGAGTTTAATGGACGGTTTGTTCTGTGTCAGTCACCTCTAACCCTGCAACAGATTAAGATAACTGCATAATCCTGCACGTGAAAGGATGATTGTAGTTTACCTCATACCAAAAATACAACAATAAACACATTCATTCCAATTAGGGATCGATTCTGACGACCTGAGCAGAATCTGTTGAGATGAATGTTTATTTTTTTCTTTGTTTTGAGAAAATGTCTCGTTGGATTTTAATTCTCACCAAAATGTTTCCGGTTCAGATGATATGAAAACTCTGCTTTGATCCGGGAACGAAAGTTAAACTAATTATTTTGGTTGATCTTGATCAAAGAAAAGAAAAAAGAAAAAGCCTTAACATAAATAACACTCATGGCTACAGATTATTAAGTTAAGTAAAGGATTAAATGGATGAATGGATATTTGTTATTGTTGATCCTGAAAACTTTCTACTACTACTAGTACTGCTAGTACTAGAACAAGGACTTGAGCTCTTCACGTCTGTTTGTCTGAATAAATCTGTGGCTCAAAGAAGAAGCAGTAAAACTCTCGCTTGAATATTTAATATAACTGACTCTGAAGCAGATTCTGCCTGAAGTAGTAAAAAAAGCAGATACTCTCTGAACCATCCCTGAATAAACACATGTTTGAAAACGCCTCTGTAATAAATGAGTGACTCACGATTCGGTCATGACTCCGCACAGAAACTAGGGTTTTTACTACGGTTTCCACCACTGTGCATTCTCATGCCTCATGACTCAGTTTGACAGAATGATCCCCACCGAGCTTGGTGCAACTCGAATTCAACAGAAGACACGGAAGACTCTGCAGTGATGCAAGCTGTTTCCATGGAAACTAATCCCCTGAATGGAGATACTTCTTTTGACTCACAAACAGATGGAGTTTATTCTTAATTATGTTACAAACATCGTCCCGACCGAGGACCAAGGGCCTTTTCTGTCGGGGGTCCAGACAAACTCCCTCATTGCATCAGTCTGACTCCTTCTCCTCTTTGAAATCTTTCTTAAATTCACTTTTTTATACTTGTTATTTCTCATATCTCCTTCCACTTTTTTAAAACTTTAACCTTTATTGTACAAACATTTTATTCTGGCTCTGATCCTGCTGAATATTTTAATAAACTCTGGTTGAAAAACCTGAAAATCAACCGGAGCTCAAACGTTCAAATGTCTGGATCCTCTCCTGGAAATTCACCGGACTGGTTTCTACCTCACTGCAGCGTCGATCACCCCTTGATGATGCACGTTCCGACCTTACAAGAAAAGTAGGGAGTGTCACACATTTCGTTATTGTATGGCCCGTGTGTTATTACCAATCATGACGTATCAATTAACACCACAACACATGGCTGAAGAATAGAAGGGCAACAGCACATTAGTGATAATGAATAAGAATAAAACTCTGCACAGCTACATGCACAGTGAGAAAATGTGAACCAATGACCCCCCTACTGTTTATATGGATTGTGTGTTTGTGGGAGTGTGTGTATGTGTGTGTGTGTGTGTGTGTGTGTTTGTTCTTGTGCTAAAACAAACATGGAGATGTCCACCACTGACGCAAGAGGCTGATGATGTCGAAGAAACATACAAGGGAATGCCTGTGGGTGGCAACAACTACCTTTGAATTCTGTGATTGTGTGCATGTGTGTGTGTGTGTGTGTGTGTGTGTGTGTGTGTGTGTGTGT